ATTCTTTACACTTACTTTTCTCATTCCTTCAGGATAGGACAGTGATATGATACTCTCTATAATATAAATTCCTTTTTTCAATATGTATTTGGAATACTAATGAATTTTTTATCTTTTTTCATGTACAGTCAAGTCTTTAATCCGGACGTCCATAATCCGGAATTATCTATAATCTGGACCTCAAAGCTACATACTTTCGGCGCATGCGTAAACGTAATTGTGCAAAGGTATTATGTGCATATACGTTTACGCATGCGCGCTTAATGTATAACGGACGGTATAAGCTAAGCTAAAATTATCTAATTATCTATTTCAGTTAATGTTGCAGATTGCGTTGTTCGTTAATCTTCGAATTGCATCCGGCTTATTATTTTTTGCAGACTGTTAGAGCAATTTTATAAAAGTAAGCTTGAACTTTCGATTATGTGAAAAAGAATTTCCGATTCTGGAGCTGCCAAAGGATCTACAAAGCGAAAGCATGTTTCAATGTCCATCAAACAAAAAGTGGAATTGCTGCAAAAAATAGATAAAGGCATATCCTTTGTTTCTCTAACCATTCTGAATCTGTTTATCAATTTCACGCTGCTCTCGTGGGGGGGAAACGTCGCGGCGGCGCAATGAACTGGAAGTTGATCTGTCAGCACTATCCTTATCTTCAAGGGCAGATGTTTTTTTTTATTTCGACTCATAATTCCTTACTAAATGTAGTATTTCATCTCGATGTACTCCGTCTTTGATATGATATAAATCAAATTCCTCGTCATTATAAATATCACGAATACACATCAAATAGTTGTCTGGTTGCAATTTTCTAATTTCGACTATGCGTAATGTATGCTTTAGGCATGTGCGCATTGAAAGAAATGTTTAATAAAGTAAACAAATAAAAATAAAAAAATTTTTTTGTAAATTTTGATACCCTTTAGATCATAATTGCTCTTTATTTCATAAATTACAGTTTCATATTTTTTATTTTATAATTTCTGCATGCCATCTTACCAGATTTAAACTGATGATCTATAATCCGGAATCGCCGAAGTCCCGACGAGTCCGGATTAAAGACTTTTGACTGTATTAATAAAGAATGTGTTTTGTGATCTTACAATTTCCGTCTACACCTATTTTGGATTACAAGTTAATTAGGTATGATCTCGCTTAATGCTGCACTGGATACAAGGTAAGAAGAATAATTTTGCTCTTTATTTTTATTAATTTGTTGTGAAATTTCAAGGCTATAAAATGTTTTACAACACTTTCAAAGTGTGCACGCGTAAAACATACATTACACATAGTCGAAATCAACAAATTGCAACCAGAAAACTATTTGATATGTATTCGTGATATTTATAATGACGAGGAATTTTATTTAAATCATATCAAAGACGGAGTACATCGAGATGAAATACTACATTTAGTAAGGAATTATGAGTCGAATAAATAAAAACATCTGCCCTATAGATAAGGATAGTGCTGATAGATCAACTTCCAGTTCATAGTGCGCCGCAATATCCCTCCCCTCCCGCAGCGCAGCGTGAAATTGATAAACAGATTTCAGAATGGTTAGACAAACAAAGGATATGCCTTTATCCATTTTTTTGCAGCAATTCAACTTTTTATTTGATGGACATCGAAACATGCTTTCGCTTTGTAGATCCTTTGGCAGCTCCAGAATCGGAAACTCTTTTTGACATAATCGAAAGTTCAAGCTTACTTTTATAAAATTGCTCTAACAGTCTGCAAAAAATAATAAGCTGGATCCAATTCAAAGATTAAGGAACAACATAATCTGCAACATTAATTGAAATAGATAATTAGATAATTTTAGCTTAGCTTATACCATCCGTTATAGAGGATGATCTTTTTTAAAGTGGCAGTGTTTGGAGCGCCCTATAGCGTAGTCTAATAGCCGAAATGGCACCAAACTTGGTATTTATACTAATCAAGACATGGGACATCAAGACATAAAATCGTACAGTTAAATTAATTATGTTTATTTGCTACATTAACTTCCCCGGTGAGGAATTGGACCACATTCAATGTGAGCACCGTTCTCATAAATAACACCGTGCACTCTGTGCACAATGTTCTCCACAGCCGTATGTAACATATCACGAGGAATATTCTGCACTGTCTTTGTTATGTTGTCTTTTAGAATAGACAAATTTGATACTCCACCAACATAAACTTAAGATTTTAAATAACCCCAGAGCCAAAAATTGCATGGCGTGAGGTCAGGGGAGCTGATTCATGTAATACAGCTTCACCAGTAACGCACGTTCCGGTAACGTGAGAGGCATGTTCACTGTAGCTCGTTTACTTCAGCTGAGATTATTTGTCGAAGCTGTCTACTACTTGCTTTTATAGCCGCTATTACTGGCCCTGTCGTCGCACAACATTTGCATTTTTCTTTGAGACCTGCGTTTTATGCTAATTCTCGTTATTGAAAGCTACAGCAGCGCCACAAAATACCCTAGTGGTGATTTTTGGAACTAAACTGTTTTTTCATGGGATTCTTTTTCCCATGGCTTGATTAGTCTAAATACCAAGTTTGGTGCCATTTCGGCTAGTAGATGGGGCTACAGGACGCTCCAAACACTGTCACTTTAAAAAAGATCACTCTGTACATTAAATGCACATGCGTAAACGTATTATGCGCATGCATAAACACATATGCGCAAGCGTAAAAGTATTGTTACATATTTCTTTTCCTGACACCAGTTGTTACGTTATTTTCTTCCTTCACGTTCGTATGGGGTTTGTAGATTTGGAGTGAATAACAACGACACTTGATGAAGTATCGAAACACACTTTATTCAGCCAATATTAATCAGGACAGCTCCAATAACACTTTTTACAGTCGTCGAAAATCTATTATAAACATGCTGGAGCAATCAGCGACACAGCGTTCACACTGTCAGGCAATAATGGTGAAGATAGCTTCACTGCAAAGTAGAGTACAGCTTCCGACTCTGTTTGGTCGTTCTCGGAACTCCACGTACTTTCGAGACTCTCCACGCTATGCACTCGATGATACACAAGAGTAAATCTCTCGACTCAGCACAGTCTAAGACAAAATTCGATGATGCACTAATTTGCGATGCATTAAAAGACTCTCTCGATGCACTCGATGACCAACTCGGCGCTAGACTTCGAGAACATTCTGGGCTAAACCGGTAAGAATTTGTTCCAGAAGGTTCTCCGTCCATCCATTTCATATCTCCAATTTCGTCGCCAAATGGACAATTTCTCGCCAAGTGTGGCAACCCTGCCTTCCCTTGCCATTCTTATGGCAACCCTAAAACTGCTTTGCGGGCGAGCTATCTCACCGCACCTGTACATTTCGTAACAGTATAATGCGTTTACGCATGCGCAGAAAGTTTGTAGCTTTGAGGTCCAGATTATAGATCATTCCAAATTATGGACGTCCAGATTAAAGACTTTGACTTTACTCTGTTATTGAAGAAAGAATAATTTAGCATAAATTTGTGAGATCAATAATTTGGCTCCATAGCTGCGTATCTGCTTGGCATACATCTCAAACTGAAACATTCTAGATAGAAACATCGTTAATTTTACGCCTACTAATATTTTATATCCCTGATGCCAACCTGGTAAGTATCTGAGCTGCAGAGATTTATGTTTAAAAATCAGTTTTGAAGATGCTCACAACTCTTTAAACTTGTGGTTCGTAAAGTGTGCTCATTAGATATTTTTTAGTGGTTTGCAGAGGTTTATAAATATTTTGTTTTCGTTGCATAATTACGTGTATTTATCCATCATTATGAAGTTACTATTTAATTAGTTTTACAACTATACACTTATTAATAATTTATTTATTCTTATTTTCTTCTAAGTCTTCTCTGTCTCTTTTCCCTTTGAGACAATTAAATGTGCTTGATGAAGTTAAAACATTTACGAACTCGGCCTTGAAAAATTAGTTTTGTTTGATTTTATTCTGATTCTCCTGTTACTTAAAAGTTAACAACCAAGTTTTTTTATTGCTTTCACTTTAACTGAGAATACTGGAAAGAATATAGTCTTATCAGTGATATTACTAATTTGTATTGCTTATTTTTTATATGTCTAACCTTTTGAAACTTGATGGACTTGGATGCAGTAGTAATAAGAATTTTATTTTAAATGGAATTAATGCAGGATACCTTTTTTCTCTGCTTTAATTAAAAAAAAAACTCGTTATTGAGATCATTTATGGCTTCTTCATGAAGTAAAAATTATGTTATATGAGTGTGTCAGTTATGATCAAACAAATCTCAATCTTTAATTAAATGTACAATACACAACTTCATTCTGTTAATGAGCTTTCTGGGTACTTACGTATTATCGCAACCAGGTTGGCACGATTTGTAAGTTTGAGTAAAAAAGTATGAATAGAAAGAAAATGTACATTTATTAATTACAGATAATTTTTAATACAGTTTTTTACATTATTTTGTTTAAAAATATAAAATAGCCATTAAACCCTTCCGGTTTCGAATTTGAATAAGTTGCAGAATTATTTTTTCGGCGGAAATCTTTTGGCTATAACTTTTAGCACTGATTGAAAACCGTCTTCGCCATTAACAGCTTGACCTTAGCACCATATAAATTCGATAAGGTATGAGTCAAGATGATTTTTACAAGTACGTTCGTTCGGTATAATTCCATATCCCTGCAACAATTCAACAGCATCTTTTTCACTCGCAGGCAGATCCCAAATACCCATAGTTAAAGTATTTCAGGGCATTCAATCTAACCAGTAAGAAAAATAATTTCTTTACGAAAAACTACATATAACACGTAGGGTTTCCGTAAGTAGGGTCACCAAATTTGGTGATTTATGCGAATTTTGGCCTGGTTGCATTAATACTTAAGTACCGCTTTCTGTTATGATTGTCATATTGAGCATTACTGGATTTTATGTTAACTCTTTTGGAATGAAGCATAATTTTTCCTTTTCTGTATTTTTGAAAAGTATTAATTATACTTTTGATTTCATTCAGGATGCTTTTGGCACATTACTGATATTCATGCAGACCAGAATTATTCCAGAACAGGAAATCCATTAAACCTTTGTCATTATGAATATTCCTCTTATCCAGATAATGGCTTATATGGAAATTTTTTGTGTGATTCTCCCCAGTACCTCGTAAATGTGACAATAAAATCTATGAAAGATATTTATCCAACTCCTGATTTCATAATATGGACAGGGTAAGTTCATTTTACTTTAACTATACCTTTTTTAACACTAATTTGTTTTGACTTCATTGCTTTTTAATATTAAAAGGGCCAAATTTATAAAACTGCCAAAAATTAGCATATCAGTAAAAATATATTTACGGGTAACCCTTGGCAAAAATTGGTGATTTTTGGTGGTACATGGATACCAAGTTTGTGCAATTCTTTGGCTTGTGTAGTGGCGATTTTTGCGCGCTACATAAAGCCAAAATAACAAGACAAAGAATTGCACATACTCGGTATCCATGTATACATCGACCTATTTTCACTTAAAAAAATTTCAGAGAATTGCACAAACTTGGCATTGCACACCCCTCTTGACTTAATCCATGTACACATTGACCTATTTTTCACTTTAAAAATCATCAGAGACTTGCACAAGCTAGGCATTGCGCACTCCTTCACTTTGTACACATCAAACTATATTCACTTAAAAAGTCAAAGAAACAGCCAACAAAAAATATTGTATTATCTCAATAAAGTACATTTTAAATCAAACAATGAAATAAAACAAAAAAGGAAATTCATCTTTGCACTACACAAAGGAAATATCCACTTACCTTATTTACGAATTAACATGTCATCAGTCAAACAAAATTCCTTAACAGCATCAAAAAACTTTCTAAAATTATCTGAACTAGAATCTGTATACTGGTGTCACCAAATAAATTCACAAAATAAGAGTAAAAAATATCATCCATAGCGCCGTTATTGTCCAACGTTCGACCATACTCATTTCCTTCCTACAAGTAGGACACTTAATAATGGCTGCTAAGTAAACCTTCGATTACACACCAGTCAAGTAATGCTTTTTTCCCCTTTCTTTTCAAATCATATAGAAACTTCAAATTAATCTTATCACATTCAGCCATTTTACCGTCTAAACAACAAAACAAGCAATATACTTCCTAACCAACACACACACACATAAGCCCTTATGAATTTACCGCAATCATGCAGCCTATTATGTCATAATAGGATTTCCATAACATTCAACTACTCAGGCTAGCACAAATGAAACAGCAACTTGGCGATAAATGAAACAACAACTTTGCAATAATACAAGCAGTAGCCTTCTCTACTCTAAGATAAACGAAACAACAACTCTGAGATAATACAAGGGGTAACCTTCTCTCTATTTTAACCTATATATCTTTTATTAGTATATTAGATTTTCATAATTTTAAGTTTAAATTAGCTTTATGCAAATAGAGAATATTTGTTGAATTCAAATCTCATTCCTTGCAGCAGTGGTGCAAGAGAATTATTTAAATTTAACTTTACAATTTATTCTTATGAAATGATATATTGTTATGTGCGTATGGGTTCGTTACGAATTGAATGCTTAAGTCTGAGGAAAAATGAACAAAATTTATTACTATTACAACAAATAAAACAAAATGCTTAAATTTCCTCAGATATTCATACAGTATTACAATATCTCACAGTAGTTATCTTCTAACTACTCAAACGTTAAACAGTACTTAATTCAAAACAGCTAGAGAAAGCTAATCCATGAATTCGCTAGTCAGCAAGAGCAGTTTTCTAAACAAACTCTTAAAACAAAAACTAACTAACCAATTGAGAGGTTTTCATGCCGCTCATATAAGCTTTTTAAATGCGCAAGAATTTTCTCGTAATCAAAAAAAGATATATGTTTATTAAATGTTAAATACATGTGCTCTTGTATTTTTAATTTTCCGACTTGCCTTTCTCCTAATATTTGTCTCATGCTGCACTGCACAGGGAATAAAACAATTTTATTTATAATTCTAGTAACATTAACTATTTAAATACCAAATCCAGAACAATATATATGTTAAACAGTCAAAAGTCTTTAATCCGAAATGATCTATAATCCGGACCTCAAAGCTACAAACTTTCTGCGCATGCGTAAATGCATGATGCGTTTACGCATGCGCATAATACCTTTACGCATGCACATATGCATTTACGCATGCGCGTTTAATATATAACGCACAGTATAAGCTAAGCTAAAATTATCTATTTCAGTTAATGTTGCAGATTGCATGGTTTCTTAATCTTCGAATTGGATCCGGCTTATTATTTTTTGCAGACTGTTAGAGCAGTTTTATAAAAGTAACCTTGAACTTTTGATCAGGTCTTAAAGAATTTCCAATTCTGGAGCTGCCAAAGGATCTACAAAGCGAACACATGTTTCGATGTCCATCAAACAAAAAGTGAAATTGCTGCAAAAAATGGATAAAGGCATATCCTTTGTTTCTCTAACTATTCCGAAATCTGTTTATCAATTTCACGCTGCTCTGTGAGGGGGGCTAACGTCGTGCCGCGCAATTAACTGGAAGTTGATATGTCAGCACTATCCTTATCTTCAGGGCAGATGTTTTTATTTTATTCGGCTTAAAATTCTTTACTAAATGTAGTATTTCAAGTCGATGTACTCCGTTTTTGATATGATTTAAATCAAATTCTTTGTCATTATAAATACACATCAAATAGTTTTCTGGTTGCAGTTTTCTACTGTCGACTATGGGTAACGCATGCGCACGTTGAAAGAAATGCTTAATAGAGTAAACAATAAATATTAAGTTTTTTTTAAAATTTGATACCCTTTGTATCATAATTGCTCTTTATTTAAAAAATTACGGGTTCATATTTTTAATTTTATAATTTCTGCATGTCATCTTACCAGATTTAAATTGATGATCTATAATCTGGAAAAACCTATAATCCGGAGTCGCTGAAGTCCCGACGAGTCCGGATTAAAGACTTTTGACTGTATTTGCAGTAGATCGCCATTGGAAATGATGAAGCTTAGCAATCTGTTCACATCAGAGTCCGGGTGTGGTCGTTGCAGAGTGGGAAAGTATTCAAATTGAAGACACAGAAGAATTTAAATTTTAAAACTCCATAGCTTTTTATTCACTTAAAATGGCAGATCATGATTCTTTCAGAATCTCCAAAAACTACATATCCAACAATGATTTAAATTAAGATAAGGTTAAGCTTTCGACGAAGGAAAGAAGAAGCGACACAGAAGCATAAGGTCTTATTGCAGTGATCGTAGGGAGCAGTCTCCTGAAAAATTGTGCAAACTCTTCATTTATAGCAGCGGTTACATAACATGTCCAAATGTTCTTGAAAGTACTGGTGTAGGGTGAAGATCCTGAAATTGTTGAAAGTTAATTAGAGGTTGCCTGCTCACATAGAGCAAAGCCATCATATTTTTTATATTTTACATATACAGTACAAAGTCCAAAATCTGGACTCGTCGGGACTTCGGCAATTCCAGATTTGGGATTTTTCCGGATATTAGATCATCAATTTAAATCTGGTAAGATGTCATGCAGAAATTATACAATTAAAAAGATGAAATCTTAATTTATGAAATAAAGAACATTTATGATCTAAAGGGTATAAAAATTTACAAAAAAAGAACTTAATATTTATTTGTTTATTTTATTAAACATTTCTTTTAATGTAAGTTAAGTTGCTTTGTTTTTGGTGCTAATGCTTTCCCTTTAGTTCTATAAACAGACATAATTTCTTGTTCAGTTACAGAGTTCCACTGTTCGAGTCCTGTAATTGCTATGTGGAGAATACCGACTAACTTGTCATTCGAAACGTTTTCCTTTTCAATAACCTGTCTGTAATTTTTTTCGCAATCGGTAGCGGTATTTTCTGGATCTAGAACCATATTACAGATTTTGCCGTCCGTTAATTGATTGATGATTGGGGTATTGTCATTGCGATGAAGAACTTCTGTTATATCATCTTCATTTATTACCGCTTCTCCATATTTCTTTACAAACTTCATGAACTGGAAAATTTCACCTTTAGTTTGTGATATCCGAAAGCCTTCAAATTTGCGGCTATCATCTTCATCGTCCTCACCATGAAATATAGTAGCTGGCCATAAATTATGCCAAGCACTTTTTAACGTATCTGGAGACACGTTCTGCCACGATTTTGCGATGCTCCACACAGCAGATTTTATGCTAAAATATTTCAAAAATTCTTGAATAGTTCAAGAAATTTAAGTTGGATTTTAAAAATGTTAATTTATATTTGCACTTCAGCGCACGCACTATTTCGATATCTATAGGCTGAATGACAGAGAGGGAAGAATAATATGGATACATTATCTTTCACTAAAACTGTAAGTGAAGTATGAGCCGAACAGTTCTCTATACGATCAGGACTATTTTTTAATTACCCATCAGGTATAAAATGATTTTCAAACTAATCATTCATTAATGCTTGTGTCACCCATGTTGTTTAATTTGCACTATATATGGGAAAGTCGTTACTCCCTTAAATGCTCAAGGTCATGCATGTTTTCCAATTACGAAAAGTTTGCATTATAAAAAACTTCTTATCCATTAATTTTGCCGTTCGGTGCTTCTCCAAATTCCAAAAATTTTGTCTTCCCTAAATTCTGCTGTCTGGTGCCAATATATTCTGCCGCCACTACGGGTTTATGGTGAATAACATATCAGTTATTCTTAATTAAAATAGCACTAAATGTAAAATTTTGACCTATGAGTTTCATTAACGAAATCTATTTTTAGCGTATGAAATGAAAGTTTTGTTGAATTTTTCTTCGTCAACATTTCTTAGAGCATTTAAAAATGCTTAATGGACTTCGAAACAAACTTTCGCTTTGTAGATCCTTTACATATCTATAATCATCACCAAGCATAATGTTAGCATAAAAAATTGCCATACTCTTGTTATTCAATTACTAATGTAAAAAAAAGTTTAGACATCACTGCATGAGTTATTACTGAAGCTGTCATGTATTGATAAACATGGGGTGATGAAAGCAAAATATACTAAATAATGACTCGCCAGGTCGGCGTCAGGGATATAAAACAGGTAAATGTTTAGGTTTGAGATGTATGCCAAGCAGACACTCAGCTATGTAGCCAAATTATTAATCTCACAAATTTATGTTTACATGATTGTTTTTCTATAAGGAGATATTTTAT